TGAATTTTTTATTGGAGACACTATATCTCTAGTTGCAACATAAACTGAGTTTTGAGGTGCAAAATTATGATTACCAAGATGATTATCTGCAAAGCCAGCAACGGACATGCACTTGCTGAATTTTCCATTGCAGTCATTATGTTTCTACCTGCAGCATAATTTGAGTTTTGAGGTGCAAAATTATAATTATCAGGGTGATTATCTAAGAAGCCAACTTGCATGTTGAAATTTTTCAGCACTGGAAATGAATTTGCTGCATTTTTCTTTCGAGTCCTATAATTTCCTGTCGCAGCGATCTGAGGTCCAAGATTGTTAGCAGGGTGATTATCTGAAAAGCCAAGCTGTGGTTGGACAGGCACCATTGTGTTATATGGAGGGTATGTAGCATATCCATGAGAACATAAAGGACAAGTCGAGAATGAGCCACTCTGTTGGTTTTGGTAAATAATGGCAGCATAAACTGTCGGTAAAGGTCTCGGCACAAAACATTGAGCTCCGTGGTTTGAAGTTGGTATCCCATGATTTTGAGGAAGTTGGCTTTATAGTTTTTGTCGAGAACTCTCCAATGCCATGTTTAGGTACTGTCTTGGTGCTTCTTGACACATCATCATATAACTCTCGACCAGTAAAGGTCATAGTTTTATGCCAACACAAATTACTACTTTGATTAATTTTAGAATCAAGTAATCAGATTAAACATTGTCAAGTTATGAGGTTCCAGATTTGTAATTGACTTTTCGAATTGCAATGTGCAATTATCATATTTCTACAAATTTTTTTCGAAATATGCCAAGAATGAAGTCTGCTGATTATGAGAAGTTGAAGAATTTTATTTTCGTAAAAGAATGCAGTTTAACACATTTTATAACATATAAATGAAGTTACCTCAGGTTGCAAAAGCCATTCTTCTTGTTTCTTTCCCTTCTGCCGGGGTCTGTAAGGTATTTTGGTTTCCTAATACGTCCACAACAATAAGCATACAATATAATGAGTAATAGTTATTAGATGGATACTAAAAAAAAGAGACTCTTAGACCTTCTAATTATCTCTATTCAACAAGAAAATCTCTGAAAGGAGAATGATATCTCATCTTACAAATTTCTCTGGGATAAAACAGCAGCAGGACTTGGAAAAGCACCGGGCCTAGGGATCAAGGGAGCACCAGGCCTGGGGCTCAAGGAAACACCAAGCCTGGGGATCAAGGAAGTATGAGGAATTGGACAAACGCCAGGAATCGTAGAAGCATGAGGAACCGGGAAAACACTAGAAAAGGCAAAAGCACGAGGAACCAAGAAAATATCAGGAATCATAGAAGAATGAGCAACTTGGGAAACACCAGGAATTGCAGAAGCACGAGGAATCGAGAAAAACCAGGAATTGCATAAGCATGAGGAACTGGGGAAGCACGAGGAATCACAGAAAGAACAACTGCAAATGAAGCATCAGTGCTTGAACAAACATCAGTTTTTGTGCTCCTTTCACCTATGATTCAGTGCCATTATTGATTAAGATCAGGTTATAATGTATTACTTACATGATTTCTTTTATTTTATTCTTTCACAAAATTTAGTCTTTTTCTAGTTTGTTTATCAAGTAACTCATTTATTCGACACTTTTCTATTGCCAAATAACGTTTTAGCATAAAACAGTTAGTACTAAGAGTCACTCAACATAATTTAGTGAACGCTAAACGATAATTTACATAGTTTAATTCTAATTCAATATAAGAGAATACGACAAACACAATTGATAAATTAAAAAATTAAGTTACAAAAAGAAAATGCTATATATATTTTTCTTTCCACCATTTTATTTCAACTCAATCTAAGAGACTGAAAATGATAAGTATCATTATTGCAGAATCTAAGAAAAACGTTTAAGACTAACAAAAGGTAACAAACTTGAGTTAGCACCTAGTAAAAAATTAGCAATATTCTGAAAAGTTATATAGGGAAGTAAAAGATGAAAAAAATAAAGCTTAGCAGATTATCACAATTTTTTTTCTTCTGCAGCAATGGAAAAATAATGAAGTTCCTTAATTCTTATGTAAACATTCTTAGTACACATGTCAAAAGGTAAAGAGAGATTTGATATTATTAAGATCAATGAGAAATTTTTCCTAAGATCTTTCTATCCAAAAACAATTGATTACAAGTGAACAAAAATCAGAAAGAGAAAAAAAAACGAAAAAAGACACGAAACAAATATATAGCGACAAATTTGCCCTGTGTACCTGCCAGAGAATCAATGTTAGAATTAACTATCAAATGAGTAATTATTAAATGATTACTTATCAAAGTTCAAGAATGAAAATCAGAAAGAGAAAAAATCAGGAAAAGGACACACGAAAAAAATACAAAGCAACAAACTTGCCTCGTGAACCTGGCAAAGAATCAATGTTAGGATTAACTTCAAATGACTAATTATCAAATGATTAAGATTAACTACCAAATGATTAATTATCAAATGATTAATTGTCAAAGTCAATTAGAGAAGATTGTTGAGACACAACACATCCGTAGAAGGAGCTTTGGCGGCAAAGCACCAAAATGCAAACAAAAATAAGAAGAAAAAAAGGGATAAAGAGCGAAGTGAAACTGGTACTAAATCATCCAATGTCAAAGGAAAAAATGAAAATCAGAAAAAATCGTATCCACCATGTAAACATTGTGGAAAAAAGGGTCATCCTCCTTTCAAATGTTGGAGAAGACCCGATGCTAAGTGCTCCAAATGCAACCAGCTTGGACATGAAGCAGTAATCTGCAGAGAAAAAGATGAAAAGCAGAAAGTTGCAGCCCAAATTGCAAATCAAGAAGATGAAGATCATCTTTTTGTAGCATTATGCTTTGCTGGCAGCAGTTCAACTGATGGTTGGTTAATTGACAGCGGGTGTACCAATCATATGACCAATGACAGAAAACTCTTCAGGGATTTAAATCCAACTGACATCAGTAAAGTCAGAATTGGAAATGGTGACCATATATCCGTGAAAGGGAAAGGAACAATAGTCATAACTGGAAATTTAGGAACAAAAAAGATTTCTGACGTTCTTTATGTGCCTGATATTGATCAAAACCTGTTGAGTGTAGGTCAATTGATTGAAAAAGGTTTTAAGGTATTTTTTGAAGACAAATTTTGTTATATACAGGATGTCTTAGGTCAAGAGATTCTCAAAGTAAGAATGAAAGGGAAAAGCTTCTCATTCAATCCATCTAAGGAGGAGAACATTGCCTATTCCGCTAAAGTCAATAACACCGAGATATGACAAAAGAGACTTGGACATTGTCATCTTCAAGGTATGCTGCAGATGAAAAGGCATGAGATAACAACCGGATTGCCTGCCTTTGATGGTAATATGCTAAACTATCATGCTTGTCAATTTGGCTAGCAAAGTAGAGCACCATTTCCTCAAGTCCAATGGAGATCTTCAAAGAAACTTCAGCTAATTCACACTGATGTTACTGGCCCTCAAAGAACGCCTTCATTAAAAGGTAATTTGTATTATGTCATATTTATAGATGACTTTACCCGCATGTGCTGGATTTATTTCTTGAAATTTAAACATGAAGTGGCTAGTATATTTTGGAGATTCAAGAAATTGGTAGAAAATCAAAGTGGGCTAAAGATACAAACCATCAGATCAGATAATGGAAAGGAATATATGTCAGAAAAATTCAATTTGTTTTGTAAAGAAGCAGGTATTGAGCAACAACTGACAGCTCCATCTACACTACAGCAGAATGGTGTCAGTGAGAGAAAAAACAGATGCATTATGGAGATGACTAGGTGCTTGTTGCATGAAAAAGAATTGCTAAAAAGTTTTTGGGCTGAAGCTGCCAATACATCGTTTTTTTTTTGCAAAATAGGCTGCCAACAAAAGCCTTAAAAGGCAAAATACCATTTGAGGTATGGTTTGGTTATAAACCATCTCTAGCCTTCCTTAGAGTTTTTGGGAGTATATGTTTTACTCATGTACCACAAGTGAAGCGTGACAAGTTAGATAAGAAGCCTATACCAGGAATCTTCGTGGGATATAGTACAGTGTCAAAGGCTTACAAGGTATACCAGCCACAAATAGGAAGAATGATAGTTAGCTGGGATATTCAGTTTCATGAAGAAGAAAAATAGGATTAGAAAGACTCATCAAAGTCTGAGAATCATTTGAAAAACTCAAAGCTGAGAATTCCCATCAGCTTAGCACAAGAAGAATCTGATCACTAGCAGTCTGAATCAGAAGATGAGCCACCAGTTCATGGAACACGACTGCTCTCTGACATTTATGAAAGAAGCAATGTAACAGTATATGAGCTTTCAGGAAATGAAGAAGCACTCAGATATCCTAAGTGGAAGAGAGCAATGGAAGAAGAAATGCAAATGATTAGAAAATATAAAACATGGGAACTGGTTGAAAGGCCAAAGGATAAAAAAGTGATCGGTGTAAGATGGGTGTTCATAACCAAACTAAATGCAGATGGTTCAATAAACAAGCACAAAACCAGGCTTGTTGTCAAGGGATATGCTCAAGTATTTGGGGTCACTACTCAGACACATTTGCCCATGTTGCTAGATTGAAAACCATTCGATTGGTGCTAGCCATAGCAGCACAAAATGGTTGGGAAGTATTCCAATTAGATGTAAAATCAGCATTTTTAAATGGTTTATTGCAGGAGGAGATTTTTGTTGAGCAACCAGAAGGATTTGTTGAAGACAAGGTGTATTTGCTCAAGAAGGCCCTCTATGGTTTACCAAACTCCCAGGGCTTGGTATAGCAGGATTGATGATTATCTGCTAAGCTTAGGGTTCATGAGAAACATGTCCGAAGTCACCCTTTACATTAAGCAAAAGGAAAATGATGTTCTTATTGTTTCACTTTATGTTGATGATTTGTTGGTGACAGATAGCAATACCAAGCTCATTGATGAATTCAAAAAGGAGATGATGCTGATTTTTGAAATGACAGACCTTAGTGTGTTAACTTACTTCCTTGGAATTGAAATCAAACAAAGTAAAGGTGAAGTATTTATTTGTGAAAGGAAGTATGCAAAAGAAATACTGAAAAAATTCAACATGGAAGAATGCAAGGCAACAACAACACCAATGAGTCAAAAGGAAAGTCTAAGCAAGGATGACGCACATGATAAGGTGGATGAAAGCTATTTTAGAAGCTTAATTGGATGTTTGATGTATCTAACTGCAACCAGGCCAGATATCATCTTTACTGTAAGCATTCTCTCTCGCTTCATGCATTGTGCAAGTGAAATGCATCTTAAAGCAGCAAAGAGAGTTATGAGGTATATCAAAGGGACTGTTAATTTTGGTGTGAAGTTCAAAAGTTGTCAAAATTTGCAGCTCATATACTCAGACAGCGATTGGGGTGGATCTGTGGATGATATGAAGAGCACTTCAGGGTACTGTTTTAGTTTGAGATCAAGTATTTTCTCTTGGTGCTCCAAAAAGCAAGAAATCACAGCATAATCAACTGCTGAGGCTGAATTTATTGCTGCTACAGCAGCAGTAATTCAAGCTTTGTGGCTAAGAAAGTTATTATGTGATCTTCAGTTTAAGCAATTGAATGAAACAAATGTCTTTGTAGACAATCAGGCCGCGATTTCAATATCTCATAATCCAGTCTTTCATGGTAAAACCAAACATTTCAAGATCAAGCTTTTCTTTTCAAGGGGAGTGCAGAAGGAAGGGGAAGTGAGTTTGATTCACTGCAAATCTGAAGATCAGCTTGCTGATATTTTTACAAAGTCGCTTCCAGCAAACAAGTTTGAGCTTCTTCGATTAAAACTTAGAGTTTGCAGCTCCTAATGCAAGGAGGAGTGTTATTTATTTGTGCTTTAGAAACTGCACTCCTACAGGAAGGAGGAAAGAAGGGTCACACCAGAAATATCGTGGGGGCGAGTTGTGAGACTAAAACATGGAGGAAGAGAGAAGAAGCCAAAAAAAAGACTCAACGGCTATTTTTTATATGTATCTGAGAGGGTGGAGAGTGAGATATACTCACGTATCAGGACAAAAACGGAAATGAAACCGAGGAAACAAGCTGGTGCTGCAACTTCTATGGTTACCTGGAGACTGACTAACTCAACTCTGAATGTAGACTCAAGGGATCAATTAACCTTTCGTTTTCACTCAGATTTTGTATCTGGTACTAGGACTAAGTTTAAGCTGCACCCAGAATTGTTCTTGTTCTAAATGTATACACTATTACATATATATATATATATATGACATAACTTACAACTTCAGTTTCTTGATTGATATATTTGCCTAATTTTTTGTCGAAAGTAGAGCACGAGAAGTTCATTGTCCTCGTATATATTATTATTTTCAATAAATATATGTACATGCTACTATTTTTAAATTTTGAAGTACCATTTTAAAATTTTAATAAATATTCGTTTTAACTTTTTAACAATATTTTTATTGTTTTCTTACTCTTTAAAAACTAATATAGCAAAATACTACAACAGATGAATGATATTTTCACCAAAAATATTTGAACTTTTTTGTAAATTTGAACTTAATATACCTGTCTAATAATAAACAGATTAAAAAATAGTAAAATTATGATAATATATATTATCTTTGTCAAAATAGTTTTTTTTTCTGAACTTAAAAAGTACATGCTATGATTTCTAGATTTTGGAATACCATTTTAAAATTTTAATAAATACTAATTCAAAAAAAAAAATTTGAACATTTAAACACTTTCTTATCGTTTTAAAATAAATATGATAAAATGTTACAAACTACCAATAATATTTTTAGTAAAAAATCTTTTGAACAAATTAATATAAAGTAATTAAAATATTAATCAAATAAATTAAAAATGAACAAAAGATACGTATAGTCTTCAGGTCTTGAGACTCGACAAGTCCGAGCCTAACACATTATAGAACAGACTAATTTTTGAATTTTTTTTTTTAAATTTGAACTTGATATAGTTGTTTATAATAAATATATTAAAGTTACAGTGATATTTTATATTATTTTTAATAAAATAATTATTTAAAAAAAATAAAAAAGCACATGTTATTATTTCTAAATTTTACAGTACCATTTTAAAATGTTACAAGAGACCAATGATAGTTTCAGCAAAAGAATGATAGTTATACTGTCCACTTGAATAACTCTTTCAGATTTTCTTTTCCTAATTTATTTCAAAAAATATTTTCTTTTCCTAATAATAATTATTTCAAGTTAATTTGCAATGAATTTAATAGGAATCTAAGACCATTAAAACATTATAATAAAACTCCTTAACCAATAAAATTCAAAACATATGGCCAGCACTCTTAATTATATAACTAGAGCAATCACAAAGTTTTTTAAACTTTTACACGGCTCATACTTATGGACTCGCTAAAATTTCCTCTTCAATTTAGATATTCCCACCAAATTCAGATTGGTTCGGATCGTCGAGGGGAGTATCCTGGTTCAACATCATCTCTATGTTCTCCCAATTCAGATAGATATCTAAATGGTCCTCCTCCACAGCTTGCACTTCTTGCTCCTCATCTGCTGCTGCTGCAGGGAGATTTGCAGACTCTGGCAATGGAGCACTTGCTGAATTTTCTATTGGAATCACTGTGTTTTCAGCTGCAACATAAACTGAGTTCTAATGTGTAAAATTATAATTACCATAGTGATTATCTGCGAAGCCAACTGATAACGGACATGCACTTGCTGAATTTTCCATTAGAGTCACTATGTTTCTAGCTGTAACATAACCTGAGTTCTGATGTGCAAAATTATAATTACCAGGGTGATTATCTAAGAAGCCAGCTTGCATGTTGAAATTTTCTGGCACTAGAAATGAACTTGCTGCATTTTCCTTTGGAGTCCTATTATTTCCTGTTGCAACAAAAAGTGAGCTTTGAGGTCCAAGATTATTAGCAGGATGATTATCTGAAATGACAAGCTGTGGTTGGACAGGCACCATTGTGCTATATGGAGGGTATGGAGCATATCCATGATAACATAAAGGACAAGTCAAGAATGAACCAGTCTATTGGTTTTGGTAGATAATGGAAGCATTAACTTTTGGTAAAGGTCCTGGCAAGAAACATTGAGCTCCATGGTTCGCAGTTGGTATCCCATGATTTTGAGGAAGTTGGCTTTCTAGTTTTTGTTGAGTACTCTCCAATGCCATGTTTAGGTGGTGCTTCTTGACACCTCATCATATAACTCTCAGCCTGTAAAGGTCATTGTTTTATGCCAAAAAGAAAAAAATAACTACTTTTATTAATTTTAGAATCAAGTAGTCAGATTAAACATTGTCAAGCAATGAGGTTCCAGACTTGTAATTGGCCTTTTGAATTGCAATGTGCAATTATCATATTTCCACAAATTTTTTCTCGAAATATTCCAAGAATGAAATCTGCTGATTATGAGAAACTGAAGAACTTTCTTTTCATAAAAGAATGCAGTATAACACAGTCTATAACAGATAAATGAAGTTACCTCAGCTTGCAAGAGCCATTCTTCTTGTCGCTTTCCCTTTTGTCGAGGTCTGTAAGGTCCTTTGGCTTTTGGTTTCCTAATACGCCCACAACAATAAGGAGACAATATAGTGAGTAAAAGTTATTAGATGGATACTAAAAAAGGAGACTCTTAGACCTTCTAATTATCTCTATTCAACAAGAAAATCTCCAAAAGGAGAATGGGATCTCGTCTTGCAAATTTCTCTGGGATGAAGCACCGGGCCTAGGGATCAAGGGAGCACCAAGCCTAGGGCTCAAGGAAGCACCAGGCCTGGGCATTAAGGAAGCATGAGGAATTGGACAAACACCAGGAATTGCAGAAGCATGAGGAACCGAGAAAACACCAGAAAAGGCGAAAGCACGAGGAACCGGGAAAACATCAAGAATCCCAGAAAAATGAGGAACTAGGAAAACACCAGGAATAGCAGAAACACAAGGAACCGGGGAGAAATCAGGAATTGCATAAACATGAGGAACTGGGGAAGCACCAGGAATCGCAGAAAGAATTGCTGCTAATGAAGCATCAGTGCTTAAACAAGCACCAGTTTTTGTGCTCCCTTTATCTGTGATTCAATGCCATTGTTGATTAAGGTCAGGTTACAATATATTGTTTATGATTTCTTTTATTTTTTTCTTTCACAAAATTTAGTCTTTTTCCAGTTTGTTTATCAAATAACTTATTTATTCCACAGTTTTTTATTACCAGATAATATTTTAGATTTTTAACATAGTGCTTGAAAGATACAGTGGTAATAGTAAAATGAAAGTAATAAGCATTAAGGGAAGCAAAAAACTATTACTTTTACATTTTGTGGGATAGTTATAATCCAGATCCTTCACTGAAAATTTTTCAGTTTTGTACTTCTGTAACATATATTGATAAATATTAGTTCAGTTACTTGAATTGATGTTAAAGTGAATTGATAGAAAATATGATGTAAATATACCTGCAAATGGCTCTTAACATGACGAAGTTTAAGCCTGAAACATCCATCGTCTCCGTGACACCCTTTGGTGTTGCTTCTGCAAATAATTAGCAGGAAATAATTGATGCAATTATATATATGGAACGTAAAAAAGAAAGGAATATTTGAAGTAGAAATATGGATAGATGAAAATAGAAAGTAAGAATTTGATTGATAAGGAAAAACACTAACTAAAGGAATTAGTACTAAAAGATAGATCTTGACCAAGGCAAATAAAAAGATAAATTGAAAGCCAGATATTGAAAAGCAATTAGTACTAAAAGTGCTCAACATAAGCTTCAATACCATGAAGATAGGGTTTGTAGCAAACACGCTGCCTAAGTTAGTCTATCTATGAAATTTAGGCCACCTGCATGAAACAAAGATTGTAAGCCAATGAATGCTAAACGATAATTTACTTAGTTTAATTTTAGTTCAATATAAGAGAATACGACAGACACAGTTAACAGGTGAAAAGAATGAAGTTACAAAAAGAAAATACTATATATAATTTTCCTAAGATCTTTCCATCCACAAATAATTGATTACAAGAGAACAAAAATTAGAAAGAGAAGAAATGCAAAAAAGGACACACGAAACAAATACAAAGCAACAAACTTGCCCTGTGTACCTGGCAGAGAATCAATGTTAGGATTAACGATCAAATGATTACTTATTAAAGTTCAAGAACAAAAATCAGAAAGAGAAAAAATCCGAAAAAGGACACACGAAACAAATACAAAGCAACAAACTTGCCCCGTGAACCTGGCAGAGAATCAATGTTAGGATTAACTTTAAATGACTAATTATCAAATAATTAAGATTAACTACCAAATGACTAATTGTCAAAGTTAAATCTACTACCAAGAAACAAGGTCTCATCCAGCATTGACTTTTAACTTTCCTTGATTTTTATTAATTAACCCCAATTTTGCACACACAAAAAAAAAACCGGGAAACATAGTAGAAAATTAAAAATAATTTATTAATTGGAGACTCTTGCCAGCTTACCTTATGT